CTCCTGGGTGTCCTCTATGGGTGTCCATGTGTCCCTCATGGGTGTCTCCAGGTGTCCCCTGGGTTTCCCCCATGATGTCCATGTGTCCCCTGGGTGTCCCCATGTCTCCTGGGTGTCCTCTATGGGTGTCCATGTGTCCCCACAGGTGTCTCCAGGTGTCCCCTGGGTGTCCCCCATGATGTCCATGTGTCCCCTGGGTGTCCCCATGTCTCCTGGGTGTCCTCTATGGGTGTCCATGTGTCCCCACAGGTGTCTCCAGGTGTCCCCTGGGTGTCCCCCATGATGTCCATGTGTCCCCTGGGTGTCCCCGTGTCTCCTGGGTGTCCTCTATGGGTGTCCATGTGTCCCTCATGGGTGTCTCCAGGTGTCCCCTGGGTTTCCCCCATGATGTCCATGTGTCCCCTGGGTGTCCCCGTGTCTCCTGGGTGTCCTCTATGGGTGTCCATGTGTCCCTCATGGGTGTCTCCAGGTGTCCCCTGGGTTTCCCCCATGATGTCCATGTGTCCCCTGGGTGTCCCCATGTCTCCTGGGTGTCCTCTATGGGTGTCCATGTGTCCCCACAGGTGTCTCCAGGTGTCCCCTGGGTGTCCCCCATGATGTCCATGTGTCCCCTGGGTGTCCCCATGTCTCCTGGGTGTCCTCTATGGGTGTCCATGTGTCCCCACAGGTGTCTCCAGGTGTCCCCTGGGTGTCCCCCATGATGTCCATGTGTCCCCTGGGTGTCCCCATGTCTCCTGGGTGTCCTCTATGGGTGTCCATGTGTCCCCACAGGTGTCTCCAGGTGTCCCCTGGGTGTCCCCCATGATGTCCATGTGTCCCCTGGGTGTCCCCGTGTCTCCTGGGTGTCCTCTATGGGTGTCCATGTGTCCCTCATGGGTGTCTCCAGGTGTCCCCTGGGTTTCCCCCATGATGTCCATGTGTCCCCTGGGTGTCCCCGTGTCTCCTGGGTGTCCTCTATGGGTGTCCATGTGTCCCCACAGGTGTCTCCAGGTGTCCCCTGGGTGTCCCCCATGATGTCCATGTGTCCCCTGGGTGTCCCCATGTCTCCTGGGTGTCCTCTATGGGTGTCCATGTGTCCCCACAGGTGTCTCCAGGTGTCCCCTGGGTGTCCCCCATGATGTCCATGTGTCCCCTGGGTGTCCCCGTGTCTCCTGGGTGTCCTCTATGGGTGTCCATGTGTCCCTCATGGGTGTCTCCAGGTGTCCCCTGGGTGTCCCCCATGATGTCCATGTGTCCCCTGGGTGTCCCCATGTCTCCTGGGTGTCCTCTATGGGTGTCCATGTGTCCCCACAGGTGTCTCCAGGTGTCCCCTGGGTGTCCCCCATGATGTCCATGTGTCCCCTGGGTGTCCCCGTGTCTCCTGGGTGTCCTCTATGGGTGTCCATGTGTCCCTCATGGGTGTCTCCAGTTGCCCCCTGGGTGTCCCCCATGATGTCCATGTGTCCCCTGGGTGTCCCCGTGTCTCCTGGGTGTCCTCTATGGGTGTCCATGTGTCCCCACAGGTGTCTCCAGGTGTCCCCTGGGTGTCCCCCATGATGTCCATGTGTCCCCTGGGTGTCCCCGTGTCTCCTGGGTGTCCTCTATGGGTGTCCATGTGTCCCCACAGGTGTCTCCAGGTGTCCCCACGGGTGCCATCCGTCCCCTCCCTACAGGACCATGACCCCGGGGCTGTCCCTGCTGCTGCTGGCGCTGGCACTGCGGGGGGGGACGGGGTCATCCCCTGGGTCCCCCCCAACTCCTCCCTGTGGGGCGGCAGCGCTGGTGGCCACCTTGGGGCGCCTGCGGGAGCTGGAGGGACAAGTGGGGGGGCTGCAGGGGCA